GGGGGGGGGGGGGATCGTCCACGCACTCGGTAGAAGAAGGCCTGTCCCCGAGTGAAGTCATCGCAGCGCACATATGCACGGCCGGTCTTGCGAGCGACGGCCGACGCCCCAGGAGCTGGCGAGCTGTCACACCAGAATTCCGGCTGGCTTTTCAGCTGGAAGGCCAGGATGTTGCGCTAACGGGGCCGAGGTTAGGAGCTGACCGGAGAGGAGGGCCGGGAGAGGAGGGGAGGGGGGACAACAACACACCGAGAGATCGATTGAGATCGAGGAAATTGAGGAGAAGGACATGGCCATCTTGAAAAACTGGCCGAAGACCTCGAATGTATACTCTTTGTGTTTTACATACCACCAGGGAAGGGCCGTCAAAGCAGCAGGCAAGAGCAAGAGGCACGAAGGGGAGGGAGGAAGATAGTCATGTAGTGGGGGGGAGAGAGAGAGAGAGAGATCAGTGTGAGGGCGAGCGAGGAGGGAGGCAGATCGAGCAAGCGGGATGTGAATCGAGGGAGAAAAAAGTCAAGGGCATTCAGGGTAACGAGGGGGGGGGGGGGGGGGGGGGGCCATTACGCACCGAGCTTTTGCCGGCCGTACAGAATCTTCAAATGCAGAGCACAGTCATTCGGGGCCGGGGCCGATTGTTTGGAGAAAGGGACTGGCACCTCGAAGAAGGGCCACGCAGCAAGTCGGACCGAGCGGTTGGGGTTGGCCATGTGCAGCGGGGAGCCTGGACGGCAGGAACAGCAGCAGGGAGTTCCCCCAGAGGGGAAGGGACGGGAGGGGGGCTGGGTGTGAGTAAAATGTTCAGGCAGGCAAGGGCTGCTTGTAGGCACATCGGCACAAGTGTGCGCCCAGAGCTGGACAGACAGACAGACAGACAGACGGACAGACAGACAGACACATCGACTCATCCCAGGCCCACAAAGAACCCCTCATTGGGCGTACCTGTTTTGCCGACAACGCAAGGCTTGTCTCCGAGAGACTGATGCTCGCCGCGGCAGATGGCTGCCACATGCTCGGAAAAGAGGAAGCCACCAATTTCCAAGTTGCTGAGCTCCAGGAGGCTGTTCACCGGCAACGAGGTAAGTAGGCCCCGCTCTGGGAGCTTGGTCTGCCAAACGCGCACGAGTCCGGGCCCAGGGGACATTTCTGCCGGAGGACAAGACACGAGGGAAAGTAAGCACAACATGCGATGGGAGCGCCTCGATGGGAGACAAATGAACCAGGGCAAAGCAGGAGTCGGCAGCATCATATGCAAAGACAAGACGCACCTGACCCGGTGGCAGACAAGTCGCTGTCAAAGGAACGCGTGGCCGAGTCATCGATACCACCGGCATCCACGAGCGTGCCGTCTTCTAGTTTGATCTTCTTGGGCGCCGGCTCCGAGGGCATTGGCGTGACCACCACATGCTCGATGCTGGCGCGAAGGAAGCGCCCACCAAAGGCAGACGCGAATGTCGATCGAGCAATGGGCACACGCGCGCATATTCAACACACAAATGCGGAGGGCGTAGGGGGGGGGGGGGGGAGAGAGAGAGAGAAGAGAAAAAGAAAGGGGCGGCCACCGACAAACAGAGCAAAAGGTGTGAGTGTGCGGAGGAAACAACAGACACGATGTACAGGGGCTCACGCGACGAGGTCTGCATGGCCATGATCGTATGGATACATGCCAGCATAGTGCGTGCGCGTGTGCGTGCGCGTGTGTGTCCACTCATAGCTGCCAAGAAGAAGAAGAAGAAGAAGAAGAAGAAGGGCAAGAAGGGTACATCCTGTCTCACGAGGGACACCATACGCACCGGAACAGATCCAAGCGGGGATTTGTGTCGGACGTGCCAGAGGCCGGGGTGTCCCCACCGCCGCCTGACAATGCCCCCTCCTCTTGCGAGGTGAGGATCTGCAAATAGCGGTTCTTGAGATTCTGCCCACAACTGCACGGGCGCGTGGTCGGATGCGTGCACCAGCGGAAGTCATCCCGAGCAATGCGCTTCCACAGGCCACGCGAGCCCTTGCGGTTGATGACATTGAAGCCGCCGCGCTGAGCCACAGCGTCTAGGATTTCCTGGTCAGTGAAGGGCACGCACCGGGGGTTCACCCGCCGGGCCCGGCGCATATACTCATGCGTGCCGATGGGTTCCTGGTGGGACAGAGCCTGTTCCAGCGCAGCCGTGAAACTCTGTCAAGTTAAATGGTGTGAGTTTAGGATTTGGTTAATTGTGATGTGCGGGGGAGAGAGAGAGAGAGAGAGAGAGAGAGAGAGAGAGAGAGAGAGAGAGAGAGAGAGAGGGAGAGAGAGAGAGCGTATCAATACGCACAATGAAGGATGACCCCCCACCTGGGGCCGATGCGGCGGCCAGCGACGTAACGGGGGCCGGTGTCGAGGGATGATGGTGAGAATGGTGATGAGGCTGTTGCAGATGCTGCTGCTCGACACCCGAATGGCCCGCCCTGGTCAAGGCATCAGGCCCAGGGATCAGGAGTCGGTACTGAATGGCCGGCAGGGAGGTCGCAGCAGTCCGATCGCCTGCCTTTGAGGGATCATTGGCGACTGCCCCTGCGGTTGCTGCCGCAGCCGCAGCCATAGCCGCCGTGTTGGCGGAAGAAGCTGCCGCCACAGTCGCCGGGCCTGACCCATACACCGGAGCCAGGGGGGCACGCCGGGGGATGAGTAGACCCAAGCTGGGGGGAACTTGGCCGCTGAGTGTGGCCGAGGAGTCGACCCTGCCTGCATGGAGGTCGACAAAGTACCCGGTGGTCGGAAAGGAGCCAGACTCACCGAGGGAAGCGTCGTGAGGCTGCCGGGCTAGGCCCGTCCCAGAGTGCTGAGGAACGGGTCCTTGTATATCCGCCGCTGGCGCTGCTGAGGGTGTCGACTGCAAGCCCAGCTGCTGTTGAGCGGGGAGAGGTGGTGCTGGCGGCTGTGCCCCAGAGGACACAAAAGGCATGTGGTAGTGCTGAGCCTGCTGTTGCTTGGATCGTTGAAGCTGGAGCTGGAGCTGGAGTTGCTGCTGCTGCTGTTGCTGCTGCTGCTGCTGCTGTTGCTGCTGTTGCTGTTGCTGCCGGTGGTGGTGGTGGTGGTGTTGGTGATGCGGCTGCTGCTGTTGCTGATGCTGATGTTGGTGCTGCTGTTGGTGGTGGTGCTGCTGTGGGATCTCGTGGGGCAAATCAAAATCCTGCTTCAGGTCGCTATAGGAGTGTGAGTGTGCGATGTAAAGTTGTTGCTGCTGCTGCTGCTGCTGCTGCTGCTGCTGCTGCTGCTGTTGGTGTGGGTGTTGGTGTTGGTGTTGGTGCTGCTGTGGCGGCGGCGGCGGCGGCGGCGGTTGCTGGTGTTGTTGCTGCTGATGTGCCTGTTGCTGCTGCTGCTGCTGCTGCTGCTGATGTGCCTGCTGCTGATGTGCCTGCTGCTGCTGTGCCTGCTGCTGCTGTGCCTGCTGTGCCTGCTGGTGATGGTGATGAGAATGCTGCTGGCGCTGCTGGAGATGATGCTGGTCCACTTTTACCCATTGCACCGCTCGAGATGTCAGTCCAGCCGCAAGCGAGTTGAGGCGTAGCTCATGCCATTATTTTGTTGTTGCTTTTTCCGGAAAGGTCGTACCGGTTTGCTCCGGAACCAGGGAGAAATTGCCACTTGATGGCCAGACGGCTTGCTGCCTTGGCAGCTGATAAATCTGCGCATTGGAGATGCCTATGACAGACCATCGGAGCGGGCGTTTGGCGTGGGAAGGGGAGAGGCCAAGATCGTGTGGGCGTGGGTCAGTGAGCTTGGGACACATTCCGCCCCCTTCCGGATGGATCCTGTGGTCAACAGAATCTGCCCCATCAGGTATATGGGCCAAAGTCACAAGACAAGGACAAGTAGACGCACTGGCAGAAATAATGTCTGCTCCCGGGTGGTCCATGATGTGGGAGAAGCCATTGTTGTGGCTGCCAGGTCCGATGCCGCTGCCGTCGCCACTGCCGTCGCTGTTGCTGGTGTTGCTGGTGTTGCTGGTGTTGCTGCCGTTGCCGCCGACTCCACTGTCGCCACTGCCGCCGCCACCACCACTGCCACCACCACCACCACCACCATCACCACCACCACTGACGCCGCCGCCGCCGCCATCACTCCCACCATCGGCCGGGTTGGTCGTGAGTGGTGACACAAGAGCCTGGACCAGGCCGTTGGATGCGTGGGAGCGTGCTACACCGGGGAAGTCGTGTCCCGCAGACAACACATGAGCATTGGCCGAGCCCATCGGTGATAGCTGGTCCGGAGGCGCCAGGCGTGGGGGGAGGATGGTGTTGGGCACGAAATTGCCTGCCTGATCCCGCTGCTGGGGCAGGTGTGCCATCGTGCATGCAGACGCAAGAGGA